CTGGTTCTTATATCTTGCTACTTTGTTAAGTTTAAAAATTTGTTTTAGTTGTTTTTGACAGGATCTTTGGGGTTTACCAGATGTACTATCATATCACCTGCCAGTGAGAGGTAGTTTTACTTTCCTGTTCAATCATATGCCTCTAGTTGATTTACGTTGTTAGTTGCATTGACTAATACCTCTATTACTATGTTAGTCAGTTTTCCATTACTATAATGAAATACCTGCCACAGGATACTTATGAAGTAAAAAGAGATTTATTTTTACTCATGGTTCTGAAGGTTCAAGTCCAAGATCAGGCAGCCTTGTTGGACTAGGCCTGTGGTGAAGGTGGTACATTATGATGGGAGTGCATGTTGGAGTGAGCATTCACTTTTGAACCAGAAAGCAGAAAGACCAAGAGATAGGTCTCCATGTCCTAAGGACCTCCCACTAGATCCCACTTTTCAAAGGTTCCCCAGAATGTCCCTATACCACCAGAATGGTGACAAGCCTTTATATTGGACCTTTAGCGGACACTCAACATCAGAACTATAGTAAGTCCAATGTTGAGAAGTAATGAACATAATGGATATCCTTGTCTTGTTCCCAATCTTAGTGGAAATGCTTTTAGCTTTTCTATATTAAATAAGATATTTTCATTAAGGTTAAGGTACATATACTTCACCATGTTAAGAAAGCATCTCTCAGTGCTTATTTTCTTGAATGATTTTTATCATGAATGTGTGTTGAATTTTGCAAAGACTTTTCCAACATCTTTGGGGATAATGTGATTTATTGTTATTAGAATTACTAACTATATATGATATTAATTATGATATTAATCATTTCCTTATATAACCCATCTTACATTCCTGGAATGAATCTCACTTAGTCACGGTCTATTACTTTCTTAATGTAATGTTAGATTCTATTTCCTTATGGTACCATTTCAAATGCTGCACATTCATGAATAATAGTAGTTTATAGTTTCCCTTGTGCTATCTTTTTCTTGTTTAGGTATATCCATGTGAAACTTTCTTCTTAAAGTACTTTCAATATTCATTCTTCAATATACATCTGTGAGAGTTGCTTTGTTGATGGTGCTTTTAGACCTTGTATCTCCTTATTTTTTAATCCACTTGATCTTAGCATTGAAAGTGTCCTTTTTGTCATGTTTGATGCTTTTGACTTGAATTGCACCTTGATATCACAAGTTCTATCCCAGCTCTATTTTGCATCCATTTCTGTAGTTACTTTGCCCATCCCTTGTAAGCCCTTCACAAATGCAGCTCCTCTGCTTTCCCCATAGGCTTCTCAGTGCTCCCAGGCTCCCAGGAAGCCTGTAATGGGCCAGAATGGTGCAAGAATTTCTGCAGCTGTGGTCCTGGCACTTGGACATTTTTCTCCTTAGATTCCATTATTTTTCAGCTTCTCTTCAAATCCTGCTGAGGGTGTGGTCTGTGTAGGATTTTTATAGCTGGGAAAGCTATTCCTTATAGTTTGGGGAGAAGATTTTGGGGAAGTTGATTATTGCAGAGCCACCACTGTCTTCAGCTACCCAGAAATTCATCATTTTCCAATTTAATAAAACATCTTCATGGCATTATTTGAATGGCTCTGTAACGTTGCAAGGAATTCGTGTATATAATAAATTGAACATGTTTTTTTCCATCCAGCTAATGCCACAATTATTAATTCAGGCTACTATTATAGATTTAGTAGACATTCAATAAATATTTGTAAATAAATAGAGGAATGATGGGATGAACTGAATTTAAACTTGGAATAGGACTCCAAAAGATGAGACGAGGCAAGGTGACCTATCCAAGGAGGTCCAAAGTGGAAAAAGTTTCAGGGGCAGGTCTGAGCCATGGCCTTTTGAGATATTTATAGTCATAGTGAGAATCAGGAATGAGAAACAGAGCCAAGATTTTGCAACAAAGACAGATGGTCAAACTTCAACAAAGCAAGTCAAGAACAAGGAAAGGGAATTCTTCCAAGGCAATTCTGTGAACAGCTTGGGAGCATCTGCCTAGTCAATGTGGGTCCACAAGTTCACATTGCAGGGATATAATGGACTGGCCTCAAGAATTGGGTCAGGCTAAACAGGTGTCAAAAATAAATCAGATCAAGTTTAAAAGGCGCATTGTGCATATGAAAAACAGTTGTCCAACCAGGAAGTGATAAGAGTAAGCTCAGAAGCTGGTCTTACAGGCTGGCTTAAGTATTTAGAGCAACAGTGAAGATGTTAGACCTTATACAATGCTGGACTATTATGAGGTGGGTTTCCAGATGGCAGAGGATGGTTACAAGTGATCATCTTTCACCCTTTTTGGAAAGCCACTTAAATTGTGTTTATGATTGTCAGATACATTAACAAAAAGTAGTATAAGTTGTTTTTCACTTGCATGGATCAACTGGTTTTGTCTGCTCAAAGAATTCTCAAGGCTGGTTCTATTTCATTTCACTTTATTGGGTTATTTTAAAGGATCATAAAACATAAAGTGAAATGAAATAATACAAGATTACACCAAAAAAGTAGAGAGTAAACTTTATCATAGTTTTGTCCAGTACTTTATAATGCCATATTTGCAGCAACAGAATACACATTTCTTTTTTTAAAGGACTTTCTAATATTTGTTTTTCAATGATGATATCTTAGTAAAGATGTTGTGAGGGGGAAAATGTTTGCTAATGAAGCATTTTGGATGTTGAGGAAGAATTTTCACTAAAATTAATCGGATCATAAAACCATTAACTTTTCTTCATTTGTATAAGTCTTCCATTAAAAATATTATACTAATAGTCATTTTTATCAACAAGGTAGAATTTTATTTCTTAAGATCTCTCTGCAAAAGATGATTACTTGCCCAGATCTAATCAATACCCAATGAGTTCATAAAAATGGTAGAAAGGTAGTGAAAGGTACAAGATTAATTACAAACTCAGTAATCATGGGTTTATTATCACTTGGAGAACAGTAGTTTTTTTCTGAAGTGGAAAACATTTAAATTTAAACATTTGATGCCAACATTTTCTTTAATGAAATGGAGATGAAACTTTATTTTCCCAAATGCCTTTGCAGTTCCTCCTACTACAGTGCCCTTTCCTCACTCCTTCAAGGTCAGCTCAGACTTCATCTTTTCCTGGAGGCCGTTTCTGATCTCAGAAGATGGAAGATGCATTCCTTGTCAAGGCCCTTATCAAACACTGCCCATGCTTGTATCACAGCACTTAGCGGACTGTCCTGACATTAGGCTTAATGCTTTTCTCTTTAGTGGCCTAGGAACTCCTACAGGTCATGAGTTACTTCTTATTCATGAGTTACTTCTTATTCATCTATACAGTTCTTAGCATGGGATCTTTAAAAGTATGCAATAAATGAGTTGAATGGAATAGATTAACTTTCTTGCATTTTCTTTGAGTAAGGGTTTATATGGTTTTGCTATTCAAATAATAAGCAGCTAGATTCATTTGATGGGTATTTATCAATGTATAGAAAATTATTATTTCAGAAAAATATTAATCAATTAAATTTAATCCCTGACATTCAACAGAACTTCCTAGAGTTGTCATAAGAACTTCTGAAAACCAAAACTGTGAACTTGTAATGGGTAAATTATTACAGTTCTTTCCTTGATTTCATAACAGATAAGTTTGTATTTATCATTTAATACAAATCCATCCTCATATAATAAATATGTAAGACATATATCAGTGACCAAGATATGAGAAATACTGGCCATGAGTCTTAGAGCAGGAAAAATACATTCAATTATCAGGCTTCCTTAAAAAACAGGAGACAGGGGGAAATGAGTTTTCAATTAAAACTACTTCTCTTATCAAAACCATTTATTTATTATTTATTACTGGAGAGTTTTGAAGTAGGAATTAATAAAATTATATAAAAATACTCTGGTGATCATGTCTAAGACTAATTAATACATTAAGTTAAATGATTTACTTCATTTCTACCCCAAAATATTCATAAATACTATGAAGGACATGAGAACACACAAAAAGTTTATAAGATATAATATACTTGCTCAATAAACTTACCTTTTATAGACAAGAATATGAAGAAGGCATAAAATAACTGGAGGATTCTTACAGTTTCTTAAGCAAATAATAAAACTGTGTTCTAGAGAGGATCCATGGTACTACCTGGGTTGGAGAGACTGGAAGCACAGAAATTGGGAAATACACACACACACACACACACACCACACACACACACTCACACTAAACACATGCAAGAATGAGTGCCCAGGGTTCATTCACAGTTGAGCATAGGCATGAGAGGGGTAAAAAAAAAAAATGAATATAAGGGAATACATCCCAGAGGGCACAGTGTCTCCTGTGTCCAGCACACAGTGGGCTCCAGTTAGTCATCTGTGGAATAAATTAATGAGCTGGAAGTTGATGGGTCTAGAGCCAGGTGAAGGGATTGAGGTTGGAGGAAAAGTGGACCAGAAAAGAAAGAGGGCGTGAAAAAGACAAAAATTTCCTAAGAGCAGAAGAAGGGCAAAAATGCAAGGGAGTTCTTGCATAGCAGTGTTTGGAGCAGGGCAGGCTCTCTTCTGAGAATGATGGCAAAGGAGAGAGTTGAGGTTGACTGTCTTCTGAGTGAACTTGGTCCCCTCAAGTGAGCAGTTTGTAAGATGGTCTTTCACAAATCTTGCACTTGAGAATACAAAGCCCTCAGCTGGTTAATAAAAATACAAATTTAATTACGAGTAGAAGAATCATATTATAATGTTATAAATATGAACAAAAAACCTTTAGATGGTCATGCATCTATTTGATATTGATTAGCATGTGCTTGACAAATTAATTTTAATTATAGATTTAAGCTTAAGACTTACAAACCTTAGTCACAGAATCAATAAAACTATTGATAGCAAATCCTAAATGTTTAGTTACTTGGTAATGGATGACATGGCATATGTAAAACATAAGGATTTCAACATTGCCTATGGTAAATACTTTATAATAAACTGTTTTAATTGATCCTTCAGGTCCTAAAATGGTAGAAGTCCAGAGTCAGCAGTTTCAGATCAACTCCAAAGATGGAAAGCCACTCTTTACTGTTGATGAAAAGGAAGTTGTGGTTGGCACAGATAAACTTCGGGTGACTGGTATGTAGTAACCTTGAGAAAGACAATATCTCATGGAATGCACTTCTGCATTTGTATTTTTGGCAACTTTATTCTGGACTCTTTATTAGATAAGAAAACATAGTTCGAATCTGTTAACTTCTCTTGGTGGCATAACTTTTGAAATTCTTGTTATCCTCTCCTAGGAGAGTGAAATCTCTTCCCCCTTCTGGCTTCCACCACACTTTACCCTTTCTCTCTTTCCAATTGGTGTAACCCAAAGGCTTATCATATATTCCTCTAACATTTGTATAATTTGATTATCTGTTTTTCAGGTTAATTTTATTCCCATTATATCAGGTATTTGGATTTCCTACATTTCTACAAAAAAAAAGAAAAAGGAAAGAAAACACTTTTGGTGAATAAAAGGTAGAATAAGTTCTCATAGTACTCACATTTAACAAAAAGATGAAATTTATTGAAAAGATTGTTTTTCAGGACATATTCTAAATTCACTTGCTAAACTTCTGTAAAGAGTAGAAGGCATAAACAATCAGATACTTATTGAATCTATTCCATACTTTTCTGGCTCATTCTGAAAACCAATAGCAACATTATTCTCTTATTAATATTACCAGACTCTCAAATGAAAACGAGATGTTTCTGACCTAGAAAGTAGACCCAGCCCTAATACAGTATTATGTAATATTGCAGTATTTTCTAGGCATTAATGTCTCTGATATTACAAAATGAATGACACTAGAAAGAGTATTAAAGGAAATTGATCATTGCCCGGTACAGATGTCGCTGACCTACACAGTTCTACTTACAGGCTTTCAGTTTTATGATGGGGTGAAAGCAATACATATTGGGTTGAAGTCCCACTTCTCTCCCCGGGAAGCAGTGTGCAGTCGCATCCTCTCTAGTGATGCTGAGCGGCACAGTAACCAGAGCTCCCAGCTAGCCACATGATCACGAGGACGATCAACTGACACTGTGTAGTCTGTTGCTACACTATGATGTTCACTATATGCTAATAGTATTGACTGAAATATTTTTATTTATGAATGGTTTACTGGGATATAACTCCTCACAAATCAAGGAGCTTCTATATAAGAAATATAGCCTTTGCAGATCTAGAATCTCTTCCTACCTCAAAAACTACTAGCTACATGACCTCAAGAAATTATTTTGTCTTTGTTGGCTGTTTCCTCACTTTTATGAGTGGGTTGTTAACAGTATCTTTATTCTTCTATTACTGCTGAATCACATGGATTGATGTGTGCAAAGGAGAACAGAGTTCTGGGGAGAGTATTACTGCAGAACAGAGCAATAGAATTCACAGGAAAAACAATCTACATATCAGCTTACACTGCCTCAGCCCCAAGCCATCATTCACAGAGAATTAGGAAAGTCAACTTTCCCTGGCCCAGAGTTCATGCCAGGCTATAACATCATTAGTGGAACAGATGAGAAAAACTGAGAGCAACTATATTATTTATTACCGGCATGCATGCACCAAAACCACCTTGACGTTTTGTTATATTACACTCATATTTATTATATTCACCCCCAGAGTTTCTGATTCAGTAGGTCTGGAATGGTTTTGAGAATCTGCAGTTTGAACACACTTTAGATGATGCTGGTCCTGTAGTTTCAGGGACCACACTCTTGAGAGCTGCTGCCCTATGCTAATTTGAACAGAGTCAATGGAAAAAGCAACAGGTCAGCAACACGTAGACACTTTCTAGAAGACATGCTCAAGTTATCCTTTAAAAATAAATAAGTCAAAGCCTTCTTCTTCTTTCTTTCTTTTTTTGGTCCAAGGCAGAAAATTCTCCCCCAAATCCTCAGTTTTTTTCCAGTGAGGCAAACTAGAACAGATATACCCCTACTTTACCGACTGTGTAACTTCCTTGTCATTATGATATTATACTAATATGAAGTTCTTGTTGTCTTGGCAACCTGGGTGACCAGATCTTACCTCTTCTCAGCTCAACAATATGTTCTTGGCTTCCCCTGTAATTAAAGAAAACCAAGAAATTCCACATTTCTGACTTTTCTCCGATGTTTCTCTCCGATGTTTCTCTCCGATGTCTGACTCTGTATGTATTGTGTAGCTCAGCCTTTCTCAACAATAACAATATTAACATTCCAAGTTGGATGGTGCTTTTGGTGTGGATAAGGGGACAGTTCTGAGCATTGCAGGATGTTTAACAGCAGAATGTTTCTTAGCTCCTATATACTAGATACCAATAGCATCTTCACTGCATCATTTATGACAACCAAAAATGTTTCAATTCACTGCCAAAAACTTCAGGGAGAAGGGGAGTTAAATCAACCCCAGCCGAGAATCTCTGGTCTACCCTAAATCTATAATGTTTTTCTGGAATTCATTAACATTTGTTTAGTGTTTACTAATTAAGCTAAATTCTATTGTAAACAGTGCTTAGATTGGGGCTGGGGAGATGGAAACACGAGTTAACTTGTTGGATATATTGTGTTAAGCGCAATAAAGGATGCCTGGAAAAAGGAATTTGGGAGCAACCCAGAGAAAGAAGTCAGGTCTTCCAGGATGTAATGGGAAGAGAGACAAACTGGGTCAGAAACTATTTCCCAAGGAAAAAGAAGTTCTAGAATGATGGGTACGAGTTTATCAGAAGAAAAAATAAGGGTTATCATTCTGTGCAGAATGTAGAGCACGAATGGATATTAATAGATAATCGGTAAAAAAAAAATATCAATGGTTAACTTTTTAAGGTTCAGACTGAGTCCAATCCTAGCTGCTCCAGTGAGTAGGCATGTGACCTTGAGTGAGTACTTTCCCTCAGTGCTTCACACTACAAACATCAGTATCCACAGATCACTGATATAGTAGGATGTTGTGTAGCATCCCACAGAAACTGATTGTCACATTAAGATGCAGGGTTCTAGGAAGTCAAAACTGGAGTAGAAATGATGTGATCACTCACAAAACCACCAACTAAAGAAGCACTGGAAAGTTAGACTTGCCAGCCCTGAAGAAGTAGGTACAAATCAACCACAAGGATGACGACCTGACAGGCACTACTTCCAGGAGTGATCATTTTAATGTTGCAGATTGATATTCACCCTTGAGATGACCGATGGCGCTCTCCATGTGGCTATTATCGTTTTACTGCCAACGTTAGAGAGTAAGTGAACAAAGCCACATCATGCCACTGTGGTATTGTGTAGAATTCTAAGGATGACCTTTGCCCTTGTATGATTCCCTCCCCTGCGAGTGAAAGTGGAATCCATGAGTATGTCACTCTTGTGATTGTGTCATTTATATGGCAAGAGGGAAATAATCTGGGTGGCCTAATCTGACTTCATGAACCCTTCAGGAACAGAGAGTTTTGGTGCCTGGTAGCAGAAGGGAGAGCTGGAGAGATTCAAGAGCAAGCAGGATTCATTGCTCTGCTGTTCAGGAAACGGAAGGGGCTCTGTGTCAAGGTAATTGTGGCTCTGGAAGCTGAAAGAGGACCAGGGCAGACAGCAAGGAAACAGAGTCTCTGCCCTACAACCACAGGGAACTGAGTTCTGCCAACTACCTAAATGAGCTGAGAAGCAGCCTCGTGCCTGGAGCCTCCAGGTGGGATCATTTTCCAGCTGCCACCCAGAGAGACCCCAAGCTTAAAACCCAGCCAAACCCATTGAGTAGAACCTGGGACTTACAGGACCTGGGGCTAACAAATGGGCATGGTTTCTAGCAGCTAAGTTTGTCATAATTAGTAGCACAGAAATAGAAAAAAAAAATGCATCCTTCATGCCACTCCAACTATGGTGGGAAATAGCACCAAACAAAACAAAACTGGATTTTTTTTTACTTATGTAATTTCATAGTTCCTACAATTATGACTTAGTTTTGTTCAGTATAATAGAATGCTTTTATGAACTCAAGATCCTCAAGATAAACTCATACAAAAACTTTTCTCCACTACTTCCTCTGAGAGTTTGGTCCTTATTTAAGTGGATTGTATCTAAGTAGCCTTTGGATTTTTCTCAGATCCGCAAAAGTAGCAACAGGTGACAGCCAAGGAAAGAGGAGCAGTAGGAGAGGAGAGAGAGTCTCACTCTGGGGACTGGGAAAGGAAATGGAACACTTTGCTTCACTTTTCTCATTGGTACAGCTGCTCTCAGCATGGGGTTGCAAGGGAGGGGTGAAGTGCTCTAAATTTAACACAGTGCGCTCTGAACTTCTAACTCATAGTAAATCCTCACTGGACTCAGAAACATTTTCTTGCCATTGTATTTGTCTCTGTTATTCAAGTAATACCAAAGCAAAAGATGAAACTCCTTGTTAATTTGTAAATACCTGCCATAGACTTAGTCAACTAGGAAACTACAGAATAGTTTTAAAAGTAAGATGTATAGAGAAAATTAAATACTTTCGCCAGCTCAGTTGGATTAACCTAGGCTTCATCCCCCCTTCAAAATAGAATTGGTTGCCAAGTGACCAAGTTAGTGTGCCTCTCTTCCTAACCCCAGTTACAGAGCATATTCTAGGAATAACATCAAAATTTTGTCTTCAAAAGGAAATATTCCATACCATTGCCATAAATGACTTCAGCCAGATGATAAATTGTTAGGCTACCCAAGTGTATTTTTTAGCACCTTGATAATAATTTGGTAGGCTGATTCTGTTCCTCAACAGTAAAGTTTAAAATAAGAAGGTCCTGTAATAGTATCCAATTCCCACCACTAATAAGCTCTAGTGATAGGTCCAGTGCAACTTCCTTATGTCTTTCTGAGCAGATGAGCAGGATTACATTAAGTCAGAGAGATCCTGTAGAAATGCTGGAGTCTCCCACAAATTCTTTACAACTAACAAAAGCAGACCTACAGAAGGAAGATTTCAATGGCTGAAGAAGTGAAAATAAGCATGGATAGGTCCCGGTCCCCATAAAGAGACATGAAGACAGACATCTGGAAGGTTCTTAAAGATCACCATATCCTTCAAGCCCATATCCAAGATAACCAGAAACTTTGAGATGCAGCCTGTGGACAGCTGATGAACCTCC